TAAATTAGAAAAATATGTTTTCAAACCATAATAAAATTTTGAGGGAGGGAGAACAAAGCTGACTTCTGACAATAGTAGGAAGTTGTTTGTTAATTTTATCATTGTTATAATGGGTGAACAGTTATTAGTTGATACAAATGGAACATCAAAGAATTGTACAAGCCGGGTCAATCGATTGGGAGATCTTCTTTTCAATACTGATCGGAGATAGGGGCAGTTATAATATTTTTTGTAGATTTTATAACACATTGTGACTATAATTGCTTGTCTTCTATTTTCTAGACTGGGTATTTCAAATTCACTTCTAAGTGCTACTGTTCTAACTATATTATAGTCCGGGTAAACTTTATATTTTTTATAATACAGATATCTCAGAAATCTGTTTTGAATTTTTTCCAAAATATTTTTGTTGATTAGCTGAGAGGGATGCCAGATTGCAGCGCCATATTCAAGTTTAGGTCTTACTAGAGTATTATAAAGTGCAGTTATTGCTTTGGTGTCATTGAAATGTGCACTTTGTCTCATTACAAAGCCCATAGTCCGTAGTGCCTGCGATGCGATATGATTCAAATGTGGTTTATACGAGAGTGCGGAGTTATAATATATACCCAAATCTTTAACAGTCTCTACTCTGGATAACTGCATGTCGTTCATCGAGTAATCGTATAATATTTTAGATAATTTTCGGCTACAAGATAGTACGATACATTTGGATATATTAAATGGGAGTTCGTTTTTTACACTCCATCGGTGGACCCTATCAATATCTTCCTGTAATTTGACGCAGTCTTGCGGGCTTTCGATCTTTCTACACAATTTCAGATCATCTGCAAATAATAGGCACTCCGAATACTTTATATTATGCGTAAGGTCGTTGATGAATATTAGAAACAGTAGCGGGCCAAGGTTTGATCCTTGATTGAGGGACTCCGGAGTTAGCGCGAAATTTCTCTGAACAGTTTCCTGCATATTTGACCCTGAAGTATCGGTTATTCAAGTAAGAGGCCAACAATTTGAGTGCTTGGAAATCAGCGCCATATTTATGGAACTTTTGCAGTATCACATCGTGATTGACTTTGTCGAATGCCTTCTGGAAATCAGTATAAATTACATCGACCTGTTTATTGTTATCTAGATGGTTGAGGACATGATGAGAAAATGTTAAAAGATTTGTAGAGGTTGATTTTTTCGGAACAAATCCGTGCTGTTCTTCACAAATATTCCCTCCAAAGCCACTCCACACTTTCGCATAAATAATCTGCTCAAATAGCTTCGCAGTAGCACATAAAACTGCTATTGGCCTATAGTTTTCAATTTCTGAGACTTTGCCAGACTTATGGATAGGTGTTACTATAGCTTCTTTCCATAAGTCTGGGAATGTATTCGATTTTATTGCTAGATTATAAATATATAGAAGAGGCTGCTTTAACCAGAGTCCACATCCTTTTACAATATATGGTGGAATCTTATCACTTCCTGCAGATTTTTTTGGTTTGAGTTTTTTCAGGGCTTCAAAGTAATTACTGTCAGTTACTTCACTGATTGATAAGTAACTTTCAATATTATTATTATCCAAGTCAGGATTGTAAGATGCCTGCTCGTTGCTGTAGACTGACTGAAAATATTTGCCAAAGGAACGTGCAGACTCGTCATTTTTTATGGTAGTGCCCTGTAGCTTGAGTGTGGGGGACGAGTTACATGTTTTTTTATTACTTTTTGTGAAAGACCAGAAGTATTTTGGATCGGTATTAATGGCGTTCTCGATGTTTATTATGTACTCTTTATGACACTTCTCTATTAGTTTTTTCAATTTGCGTCTTTCCTCAACGAACAGTTGCATATAATGGTTGGATAGATTTTTCAACTTCCTCAGTTCATTTTTTCTTTTTAGACATTTTTTCACATCATTAGTGAACCAAACAGGAAACTTACTCTTTTTATTTTTCAATTGAGGTACTAATTCGTCGAATACTTCATATATCTTATTGTAAAAAAAAATCAACGGCGTCATTGACATTTTCTATTTCGAACATTTCATTCCAGTCAATATCTCTGATTCTATATGAGAGCTGTAAGAAGTCGCATCTTTTGAAATTATAAGAAGATTCTGTTTCAAAATAGGTTTTGTCTCCGCAACCCTTACTATTTTCTATTTCTATATCAATTATCAATGCAGGATGGTTAACATCCTCTTCTATCAGAGAAAATTCAGATTTAGATACTTTTAGTACATCGCAGTTTTCGGACGCTGTTAACACCAAATCCAGTTTTCGATTATTAATATCAAGAACTTCATTTATCTGTTCTAAAGCGTGTAGGTCTATAAAGTCCAAAAAAGTCGTGTGCCTGTCATATTCGGGACATCAAATGGGATGCTAGATTAGGTAGATTAAAGTCACCAGTGACGTACACATTTCGGTTATCATCGACTACCTGATGCTCGTAAAAGTTAGCAAATTCAATATAATGTTCAACAGTTGATTTCGGAGGGAAATAGACCGCAAAAAGAGCGATTTCAATTTTTTTAATCTTTACTTTAACATACAGAGCCTCGAAATCACTCTCTCTCTTTACCCAGTCTAGAATTTTGAATTTTTTGCTTACCCCTATCATAACTCCTCCTCCCCTTTCTTTGCTGGTTATATGTGGATTTCTGTCACATCTAATTAATTCATACCTGTTGGTGTTAATCAATTCAGAGCTATATATTGAATCATTCAACCATGTTTCTGTTCCTACTATCAAGTCATAATTTTCCCCTTCGGTACTCAGTTTGAATTTGTTCAATTTTGTTCTCAGACCCCTAAAATTCTGATAATAACAAGATATATTTTCCATTTCAGCTATTTATATGAAAAGTAAATACAAAAACGAAAATAATAAAACTACAAAAATGCAAATCAAAGTCGCGCACAGTGTTGTCGTGCCCCCGCATCCATGTTATCTCTTCATGTTTTATTTCAAGTCGCTCTGTTTCTCTATTTTCCTTTTCCTGCCTTCTACATTCGCAAAGATGTCTCCGTTCCTTGTCCATACGTTTCTATATGAATATTTGTTTGTTGCTGCTTTCAACAATTCCAGTCGTGCTCTGTTCAGATCTTCCCTGATCACTACGCCACTGCCTTTCAATAATCGAACATTTTCCATAACTTTTTGTCTTTCTTTATAGTTCGAGAAACGGATTTTCTTCAAAATGAGTGGAACTGATGGCATGTTTCCTTTGGAATTTCAAAAAAACATTGATGATGGCTGAAAATAGGTCGGAACACACATAAGTCACCTTGTATAATACATGGTTGGATTCAGAATAAAAATAACTTCCAGAATATGTGAAAAAATTATCAGGACCGCATTCAAAAAACAAAAGTTGATGATGGTTCCACGAATACGGAAAGTTGCATGAGAAAATCGGTATCACCACGTCGAACGTCATCAAAAGTTGCTATTGAAAAGTTTCCTCGGTTCTGTTGCATCTCTGATAATAACGGAGAAAAAAATAAAATAGATATTCCAAATACTCACTTTTTTCGATATAACTCAGAAACTAAAAATAGTTTTTGAAATTTTCGGAGGCTCTTGATATGTGCCTCCGAATGCGCAACTTTTTCCCCATTTAAACGACTTCGTATCTCCTACCGTTTCCGAGATCCCCATGCTGTTCAACCTCATCTTGGACAGACTGTATATAATGGTAACATAAGCTGTCATAGAACTTTTGAAGACGCTTGCAAGCTGGAAAAACCATTTTCCTGAAATCTCCAGGACCTATTCAACTCAGGGACCTGTATTAATTCTTCTTTGATGTAGTTAGATGATTTTTAGGGTATTTGGTATTTTGTAGTCATTTGGTTCATTCGAAAATCAAAATCTCAGATGTTTTTCTAATTTTTCATCAATTTTGATATTCATTTTGTTGTTAATTTTTGTCAGTTTGAGAGATATTCAGAAATAATCTGCATGCCATGGCGTGTTTTTGCATCTATTTCTCAAACAATTGCCTGCTATGGTGATTGAACACTCCTTGGTCGAGTTCCGATATTACGAATATACTGGTCACAGTCAGTAATAACAGAACGATTTGAGTTTCAGTTAACTACTATTACAGTGGAATAACGGAACGAATATTTAGCAGTGTTGGTAGGAATTGTAGGAATATATCGTTGTTTGGCGGCAAGGTATGAAAATGGGAATTATTATACATTTATTTAACTCAAGTTTTATGTATGTATGTACCTACTAGTCTGATAAAAATATATGGATACTCTCGTTCTAGCTGTTAATACTGAATTTTTCGGATCTTCATCTGATGAATCTGATATTGCTGATGGAATGCAGTAGTTCTATAGTAACACTGACAATGAAAAATATTGTATTGCAGGGATTCATCAGATTATTCCTCGCTCAAGGATATCAAATTTCATCATCCACTTCAATTTCAAAAACTACACAAAACATGTTCATTACAGACGATCAATTTTTGTTTATTGGATGGTTTTAGGTTTAAAATAACAATTTTTTTTAAATTTGTAAAAATCACTATAAACAATCCAACAACAAACAGCACATAAAGAGATTGAAGAGAATAATAATAATCTATAACCACACTTTTTAGTTTTTCATGATGGAGAGGGGATATTACTGGCGCCACATGATCATTTGATGTCAGTCTGTAGCGAACAGTAAATTTCTAGTCCTGCACAGGGTTTAATGACAGAACACGGAAAAGTGCTGCCAGCAGAAAACAGTAATTTCGGAACGGTCTACACTACTGGACAGTACTGGTTGGGAATATCGGAACTCGACCGAAGTCTCTATTTATTTGACTCTCCTTGGAAGGAACCTACCACATCCATTAGACCCTGAGATGGATAACAGTAACACAGCATGAACTGAATGCACCCTGTGGCAGTATACACCAGAGCTGTTTTGAAAGAATCCAAGTTCGATCTACAAAAGACGCATTATAAGTATCATCTTCATGACTTATAGGATTTTGTGTCTCACTCTGTAGACAAGATGTACATCTCCACGCACATGGACATGATAATTATGGTCCGAAATATCAATAGAGATGAAGAAAAAGTTTCATTAATCAGTTGGACATAGCTGAAACATTTCAAAAAATTTGAATCGTCTCAGCATTGAACTTGATCGTCTACTGAGATACCTCAATAAAAAATTATGACGTTCCACGCATCTCTTGAGTTTGTCTTCAACGATTATGGAAAATAACTCTTTCGGAACATCTTCTGTTATCTTGAACATATTCTTGATCTCCCTATTCAATAACCTGAATTGTATCTCAGTTAATCTTAAAGTAGCCATGAAGAAAAAATCCATTGCCATTACAGGTATGAGAATCGTCAGCAAAGCCACTCCTTCCTGGTATAACAGAAGAAATGAATATCCGATCCATTCTGGTCTGTAGCATTCAATCGGCAAAATATTGTCTGATGATATCATGGCTGCCACAAGGAACCCAGCTGCATTGGAACAGTGCATCATCATGAGTAATCTGCATGTGTTCTTGATGGTTCTGTAGCCTTCGATTACGTCCGATTCCATCTCCCCCGAGTGATCATCTGTCAATGTCCAAAATTGCCTCATACCATGAAGTAGTAACTTCATATTCGATTTTTTCATAAACATTGTAGTATTCTTCAGGAAACCCTGAGGATGAAATAACATCACAATTCCAGAAAATGAAGAATTATCTATCGTAAACCATTCAGCTGATATTTCGTTTGATAATTATCGACTTTTATTTATATTCAACAAAGAATTGTAACGTAAGTTGACTGATTGAATCATGTGGTATGGGAATAAAAAGAGAAATACACATTCTGTAAAAAAATCATTTATGCACTAGCGGACGAATGTAAATCATTCATGAACATTACCCTTCTCTTGATTACTGAAATTATACGTAACAAATTGAATTCGGGGGAATATTAGTTTATCGATATCTATAGTCATTACTTTTGAATCAGAAACTAAACCACTAGTGCATAAAATTTTGTATGTATCACGTGCGTGAGATGCGTTCATGGCCTTCAGCGTTTAATGGCCCTCGGCTAGCGCCATCGGGCCATTATTCACGCCACAGTCCATAAACGCCTTCTTTACGCCCTTGATACATAAATAACTATCAAACTCTCAAACTGATGAAATTTATACCGACCTTTACCGGGTGTCAAAGTCAAAGCCATAACTTCTAGAATATTCGGTTCATCAGAATGAAATTTTATATGGGTATATGGAATGTGGAGAGGAAACTTTTCGCATATTGTTCACTTCCTGATCACTTCCGATTTCACCGTCAATGGTTCTGGTTTTGAATTTTTGATTGGAACACCCTGTATATTCTGATTATTTTTGAATTCTTGAGAACATTATGAATCAGAATATGACATTTCCTGAAGTTTTCACGTCTTTTTCATATTTTTAGAATCACTCTCAATATTGCATCTAGGTGGCCATTATTGAACGTAAACTCATTTAATATACAGGGTGTAATTCAATTGATGGCTGAAAATTGAGAATATGATTCCTGAGCTCATTCTGAGAAGAAAAGTTAACTTGAACATATGCCTTAATCTCTTAACGTACGAGCTATAGGGTGATACAATTTCAAGAAAAACATCGTTTTGTTATCATAACTTGAATACTGTTCTAGATATTTCCATCAGATTAGACACGTACCTACTAAGCATCAATAGGCACTTCTTGAAGCATGAGATTTTTCAATATATCTACCATTGACGTTCGTATGGGATGTATACTGGAGATTTTTCTGAACAATTTGGTACGCCTTTGCTTTTTCCGAACATGAAAGTCAATTTTGAAATCCAGATCCATATTTTAACAATTTGAGATCTCATTTCTTTCCTTCGATGAACCGTTTTCGCGTAAAAACATAGAATACATCGGGGGTAATCCAAATAATTAACTTAACTTGAAAAAAAATTAGGCGTAAGCACATCTTACCTATACAAACTACCAAATGGTGTTGAGTATGTGCAATTGTGCATGTCGAATTTTATGAACATGTCTAGGACAGTATTGAAGTTATGATGATATACAAATTTTTTTCTTGAAATTTTGACACCCTTTAGCTCAAAACTAAAAAGGTTTAGGACACATACAGGGTGTCCGGATATTATGCGCATAAAATCAAGTATGTCCAACCAATGTATGTATGTCAGATTTTGTAGTTTGTTCTTGATATTTTGAATAAATTATTCCAAATTGTTTAATTTTCATTCATTCATATGACTGATATAGAGAAGTGGATTCAAGAAATAATCTTCACAAATATAACACGACCTTGATTAATTGTCGACTATTTTATTGCTGCTAAATTTCTCTTGTATTTATTAATTTTACTCGACATTATTTTGGCATTAATAATCAGAGATGAAAGCCCTCGAGCTTCGCTCTCGGGCTCTCATCAGATTATTAATGCCAAAATAATGTCTCGTTAAATTATTAGAAAATACAGTCGAAATTTAGATGCAATATAAATAGTCGACTATTTATCAAGGTCTTGTTATATTACCCTTGATTATTTATTCATTTCTACAGAGTTGTTTCACGCGTCTGAGAAGTAAGTCACAAACATACAGTTCAAAAAATTGTTCAAGATATCATAAAAATAGGTACCTACACAATACAAATAAAATATGATCAACATATTGAAAATATCACTTACTGGGTATCAGTATCATATCATATCAAATTCAATTTTGATACACCAAAAATTCTGGAAGTTGTCTAGTGGATTCGTTGAAACCCGGTATACCGGTATATAGCCGAAAGGCTAGTTGACTTCAGCTGATTATATTTAAAAAACATGTCTGTTCACCAGATGCATAGAATAAACACAACTGAGCAGAATAATGTAATCACAGTAGGTTTTTCTGGGTGGAAAATTTAATTCTGATAAGTTCTACATCGAATATAAAATATGCCTATAACCTCTGGAAAAATGATACATCACCCTGTTCAAATAAATCATCAACATCCTGTATATCATATGAAATAAACATCCAATTTCCATAAATTCATCAATTGATTGAAGCTAAATTCCCAATTTGAACATGTATAGTTGAGTTGTCTATGACATATTATATTATATTGATTTCAGAGCATTTCTCACTCCTACCCATAAACGATTCGACAGATTTCAGTTATAATTGCATTCACAATAATTGATGGAAAGAGTACATGGTTATATTTCCGAAATGTTAGTTGGTACATGATGTTGGCTCAAATTGTAATGGGATGATTGAAATAAAATACGTTATTTGAAGACTAAAATGATTGAAAAATTGATTAACAAACTTACATAAAATTATTTCTAATCAACAATATGGCTTCAGGAAGCTGAAATCCACAGAAGATGCGATATATTCATCAACTCCTTTTATATACAGTGTGACCCATTTAAGATGGAAGCACCCTTATAAAACTTACATTTTTCAACCGATTGAAATGTTTTTTTTTTTGTTAGGTAGGTATTCAAGAAGTCTATTAGGACACCAAATATCATGAATAAATCTTCATTTCCAGGGCCAACTAATCTGATTTTTCAAGGTCAAAAATCTAAAAAAATTACTAGCGATTTTTTTAGAAAAAATCCGACTACACCACTGGATTTGTGACATTTTCAAATGGGTAACATGTAAATTAGGTTGAAATGCGTCAATCAATAAAAAAGTTATAAAGGAATGAAATTTGAAAAATATGCCGTTTAATCAACCCACCAATTCATGTTCAGGAATTTTATGAAAATTCTGTATACTCCACTGGATTCAGGATGTCTTGAAATATTACTGATCACAGTTTCATCGAAATCTGTTCAATAATAAAAATTGATGGGTTGATTAAACGGCATATTTTTCAAATTTCATTCCTTTATAACTTTTTTATTGATTGACGCATCTCAACGTAATCCACATGTTATCCATTTGAAAATGTCACAAATCCAGTGGTGTAGTCAGATTTTTTCTGAAAAAATCGCTAGTTATTTTTTTAGATTTTTGACCTTGAAAAATCAGATTAGTTGGCCCTGGAAATGGAGATTTATTCATGATATTTGGTGTCCTAAAATAGACTTTTTGAATAATAATAATAATAATAAGAATAATATTTATTTCATCCTTTGAGACATTACAAAATGTATAGGACAAGTCAAGCGCTTACAAAATGGTTTAAAAGAGAAATACATGATGAAATACACAGAATACAATTATTGTCAGTAAAAATTAAAACAAATGGCAACAATGGCTAAAATGGCTACTACAAGTCATCCTGCAGATATTCATCTATACTATAATAACATTTGGTAACCATTAAATTTTTTATAGTTCGTTTAAAAGAAGAATTGGAAATTATATTTTTAATTAATGTTGGAAGATGATTGTATAATTTCATTCCCATATATCTAAAACTATTTTCTAGTTTTGTTGTTTTGTGTTTGGGAATGCGTAGGAGATCTGAGTTTCTGGTGTCATAGTAATGATTTGAAGAATTCAGCTGGAAGGTATTGATGTTATTTCTCACATACAGAAGACAGTGATAAATAAACACGCTGTAGAAAGACATTATTTTATATTTTATGAAGGTGGGTTTACAAGTTTGTTGATATTCTAGACGGAACATCTTTCGAATGATCTTCTTTTGTGTCACGAATATTTTAGTTACATCGACTGAGTTACCCCATAAAATGATATTATAACATAAGTGACTGTATACTAGACTATAGTATACATTAATTATTGCACTGGTGGGCATGGTGTCTCTTATTCTAGATATCGCATAATATGCCTTATTTAATTTGGTGTTAACAGCGTTAACTTGATGTATCCATCGAAGATTGGAGTCAATATTCAAACCCAAGAACTTTGTTGTTGCAGTTGATTCAAGCATTGTTTGGTTCTCAAAGTTTATAGTAAGAGTACGTAAGTTGTTAACTATATTATGGGAATGAAAATATACGCATTCTGTCTTCTCAACATTCACCATCAAACAGTTGGAATTGCACCAATTCACGAAGGTTCGTACAGTATCCTTGATAAAAGACATGAGTTCCTCCGAGGTCTGTGCAGAGACTGCCAATGATGTATCGTCTGCATATATGGTTAAAAGGTGATGTTTCAAATGTATTGGTAAGTCATTTATGAAAAGTAAAAATATTAAAGGCCCCAACACAGATCCCTGAGGAACTCCTCTGTCCATAGTGTAAGATTCTGATATGGCCTCCCCTACTTTTACTAGCATCTTTCTATTGGTTAAAAAATCTAATATCCATTCAAGAAAAATCCCTCTAAATCCTATATTGTATAATTTATTTTCAATGAATTTTATGTCGAGACAGTCGAAAGCACGTGATAGATCAAAAAACAGACCTGCCACGTGCTTTCCGCTGTCCAGTTCCTTGTATACGTATTCGAAAAAATTGCATGCAGCAGTTTGTGTTGATTTATTTGCACGAAAACCATGATGGTGCGAGGCTATCAAATTGTTTGAATCCAAAAAATTTATCATTCTGCTATAGACAATTTTCTCGAATATTTTAGATATAACACTCAGCACCGAGACTGGTC